AGGTGGTTTGAACTGGCTCAAAAGATATTTGGGCCACATACAGTTGACATGTTTGCTGCACATCATAATTCACAACTTAAGAATTACAGGACCTAAATCATCCTGTAGGAGATGCCTTGCAACTAGACCTCTCCAAACATAATGCGTGGGCAAATCCACCATGGCAGTTAATTGCTGAATTACTAAAATATGTTCATATACACAAAGCTACCATCACGGTGTGTTGCCCAATACGGAGTAAAGATTCATGGCTCAATAAATTAATAAGCTTAAGGTGGTACGGCCAATCATCTGCATCATCCGTTAATGTAGTACGCAAGAAGAACTTAAGTCTTCTATGGCGCGTTTCATTCGCGCCTTGCGTTTGCGGCTTATATGGCACACTTCTCTTATGGCATATGCCTGATACGAGTACTAGCGATTCCATTATGTCATCGCGGAACTCACTACCGTTATCAGTGCACATATTACCCGGCCACCCGTGGTCAGCAAAGACTTGGCAACATAATTCTGCCACGGTCTGCATATTCTTATCCTTCAATGGATAGAGCAAGTTATACCGTGACGCCACATCAAAAAAGTGGCATACGTAACGGTCGCCTATGTGCTTGGACGTAGGCAGGTCAACCAGATCAATGATGACCCTGCGCCATGGAACATTTTCAGTCACACTCTTAAGCGGTTCCAACCAATAGCGCTTGATCTGATTGAGATCACAGTCTGTACATGACTGATATACTTTGTCAACTAAAGTTGCCAGCTTAGGGTGCGCGAAACCATTTTGCTTAGCATCTTTAAGTGCGTCTACTACGTTCTGGTGCTTCAGCTTATGGTTTTGCGTCAGCCAAGTAAGAATGTTTTCATCATTCTGCTCTTCCAGAATAAACGTAGTGTGTCGAGAATCCACTTGCGTGGTCTCTAAGTCTGTAGTGTTTCCAGACTCCTGTCCTTCTTTTGCGTGAGTGTCATGAGTGCACTCGTGTGCGTTTTATACACCTGACTTATTTAATAGTCGTATTATATGTGTATATGCTTCGGGATTATCTTTCATTAATCCCTTTAAAAATAGGATTTGAAAGACTTCGGGCTTGAACTATGTGTTATTAAACAGAGTCCTAGCTAGAGACTGACGCTTCTTAACTGTAGTGTCATTAGTAAATTGTATTTCTTGTGCACAGACTTCAAGTGCTGTGTTGCCTTTGAACTGCTTAACGTTCAAACTAGTGGAGAGTGGAATCTCCGATTCTTTGACCTTGTTAAAGAAGGTCTCAGAAGGCGTCCATTTGGTTGTTCCAATGAAACCTATACGACATATTATAGTATGTCTCCAGGGCGTCTTCTGGACGGCTCGGGTACCCTGATATTTGAAAGTATCTACTTCCCTATTTAAATATATTGGCTCGCATTGTATCATGCTTATCAATTTATTGAGCCATGGATCTTTACTCTGTAATGGGCAACACAACGTGAAGTTAGCTTTATGTATATGAACATAATTTAATAGCTGGACAATTACCTGCCATGGTGGATTAGCCCACGCATTATGTTTGGAGAGGTCTATTTGAAAGGCGTCTCCCAAAGGATGATTTAAAGTCCTGTATTTCGATAGTTGTGCACTATGATGTGCAGCAAACATATCTATGGTATGTGGCCCAAATATCTTTTTGAGCCAGTTCACCCGGATGGATCTGAAATTCCCTATTTGCCACCTACTTCCTATGTGACTAAACTTTCTGATCTGCTTACCAACAGAGCAGAAAATTCTTCGAGCTTACTTACTAATGAAGAACAACCTTTGGCTATTACCTTACCAAGTAATAAACGTAAAGCGCCTACATCGGAAATGGTTACTGGATCAAATACTAAACGACATAGAGTACAACATGAGTCTTGAACTCGTACATATAAGCACATACTTACTCGATAAGCCATGACCGAAACCGTTTTACCTTGGGTTTGCTTTACGAACTAGATCGTACCTTCACGTACGTCCGTAGTCCTAAAAGCTACTGGGGGCTATGTAGAAATACGGCCTCTGGTCAGTCTAAAATATCAAGATCAAATGAGGCAACACATTGGTTTTTATTTGTATTTAAAATAATTTAATACAAGTTCTTTTTCCAAATTTCTAAAGTGTTCTAAATTCCCTTTGATGGCTCCAATAGCCTGAGTATTTGGTATGACTCATTTACTTGGACCTATTTGAGACGATAATAGATGTAGGATATTCTAAACTAAATTTTATAATCTCTGAACTGTTACTTACAGGTTTTGGTCTTCCCGCCAATCTCCAAAATCCAATAAGTCTTTTTCTTTTTTTAACTTTTCTTCAGATGGAACTTTATTTATTTTAGCTAATGTATTAACTTGACTTGCGTTCTTATGTCTATCTACAAATTAGACGTGTGGTCATGAATACTTAGTACTTCTAGTATTATTTTTTTCTCAATAAAGTACAGCTAGAGATACGTCCTGTGTAATCGAGGATATTAAGGCTCTTACCAAGAGGCAGTCCCAATCATTCTTACACAAGCTACTACTGCTAAATCCTAACTGATTTAAATTGTATCTTAATTTATATAGCATAGCTTCAAACATAAAAATATATCCATCGAAATTTACACCCATTGAAGCCTGAATCTGTCCTAAGCTTCGGTGGTCACATGTCAGTCACGTAATCCCATTGTGAATACATTTGGTTGGTACAAAATAAACGTGTAAAACTTCCTTTCACAGTATATTCTGATCAACCAAGCGGACTAGTACCAAGTTCTCGTCTCGCATTTGCCCCGTGTCTCGCAGGCCAATGCCCTTGAAGACATGAATTTGATTCCGTACACGGCTGCACCATGGGGATGACGTGTAAACCTAGGTCTATCCCAAGCTTGGGTTACCATCGTATAACCCATTGAAATCTGAATCTGTCCTAAGCTTCGGTGGTCACTTGTCAATCACGTAATTACATTGTGCATACATTTAGTTGGTTCAAAATAAAACTATAAAACAACGAATGTTCAACAGTTTACGAAAAATAGTCGCATAACGGCCAATCATAACCGCTTGACAACTATTCTTACTTTCAATTCGCGTTGAGCATAGTTTCCGAATTCCAACAATGTTTTTTTTTCTCGCTTTATTTTATTTTTCTTCCGAGTGTGTTGGCAACTTTGCATTTGGCAACTTAGCATCATATGGTGTTGGTATCATATAGTGTTGGTATCATATAGTGTTGGTATCATATAGTATTGGTCTCATATAGTGTTGGTATCATATAGCGTTGGCATCATATATCTGAATCTTCTCAAACTTCTCAGAACAGCTCGAGGTGACTCGAACTGATCTGTACAGTACGATTTTTAATTCACAATACTTTGGTCTTTTTATCAATGGGGTGTTTCTATTTATTGATATTAAACTTTTGCTACATAGAGAAAGTAGAGGATTATAGTAGAAAGCCAAGTTGAGAACATCATCGCACTCAGTCATATTGGGTGCGGGAGTGAGAGAGGGAGATAGTGAGGGTCTCAGAGAGAGAGAGTTGAAAGTCGCGAGCCTTATCATGAAACTTTAACTGGGGCTCTGGGCTCTGAGCTCTGAGAAGGCACATTGCTGATATGACTCATACGAGTAACGAGTATGAAGTTCTGAAATGCCTGCTGAAGCTGCAGGTTTATGTACACTGTGCTATTAGTAACTAAATCGGATTGTGTCGCTTCGTAGTATATGACCTCAAATATATACCTGGTAGTGAACATTCTGTAGCGCAAACTGTGAATACCAAAAAAAGTATGAAAATGCAATAACTTGCGACTGCGAGCTTGCGAGGTCACACCCGTCATGGCCGCCACAGTAACTAATAAGGAAACTGCAGCCTCCGCAGCTTAGGCTGTTCAGCGGGCATTTCAGCTTCGAATATGTCGTAGCAGCCTATTCAACTTTCATTATGTCGAGACACAGCCTTCTAAATCAAGCAGTCCAGAGTCCAGACTGTCACTTTTACTGTCTTAAAATACTGCTGCTCGCCATTTTCTAATCTCACTATTTTTCTCTCGAGAGAGTGGAAGATCAGAGAGTATTCAAAAAAAAAAACAGTAGCCTAGGTGGCTACTAGGTCCCAGGTCCCCGGGCCCAGGCCAGCCCCGGACTCAGAGTCCCATAATAGCAAAACATGTCCGCAACTTTGCTCTATGCTATTTATTATTATCTATTTACCTCTACAGTGCACAGGCTCTACTCAGTCTCTCTAGCAATAGTGATCAATGATAAATACACACCAAAGGTAAAAGACCAAAACATTGTGAATTAAAAGTTCGATATGTACAGATCAGTTCGAGTTACCTCGAGGCTCGAGCTATATATTCTGAGAAGTTTGAAACGATTCAGATAAATGATACCGACACTCCATGATACCAACACACTCGTAAGAAAAATAAAGTGAAAAAAAAAACATTGTCTGAAACTTTGCGCAAAGCGAATTGAAAGTAAGACTAATTGCCAAATGATCATGATTGGCCGTTTAGGGGATTTTTTTATTATGGGTAGATCACTCATTTGATCACTTGATCCAGCTGTTATTCATTTTAAATTTTATGTCACAGTTGTGAGTTGGTACTGAACTACTGGTACTCGGTAGTCGGTATATACTGATGCGCGATGACAGTCATGGCACCAGAGTCCAGAGTGACCAGACACACAAGAAAACTGGTATGTAGAGGAAAGACATACTCTCTCTAGAGTAGATATATATATATATATATATATATATATATATATATATATATATTAGAGATCGTACATATTTAAAAATAGTGTAAAATAATGCGAAGGATGTCCATTCCGAGCTAAATTGTATTAAAACTGTAGGTCTTTGAAAATCACTGAGGTAGGTTCTCGAATACTATATACCATACTTTCATAGCTTGTGATCAATAAGAACTATAAACAACAAGGAACAAACTGAAATATGAGCACTGACTAGGTCACTAGGAGCCAGGCTCGCCGGTTGAACAATGGCTGCCTCTCCTGTTCGGCGCCAGAAGTATGACTGTCTCTCATCGGATCCAGATGTGATGGCTACTACCGCTGATATAGCCTGTGTTGAGAACAACCAATCTGTTTCATCTTACGACCAAAATTTCGTTGCCGACAGACATCGTGCCATGAGTCACATCGGGCGCGTTGAGACTACAGCCCGTTATTGTCGCCGCTGAATTTACTTGGTGCGGATGTGAATAGCCTTGGACTCACTTGCGAGCCATTTGGATGTTTACCATGTTGACTTGATTCTTGACAGTTCGACCTACCAGCTGAGGCTAAAATAACGACAGAGCTTATAGAGATGCAATAAGACAGCCGCAGACGGTGAGATCAATGTTCTTCATCTTCAGATGGTTGTATTGAGGTTTCAAGGCTTTCACTAATGGCACTGGCTATGCGGCTAAGGCTTCGACGCTGAGGTTCTGTTTGAACCGCTTTCAAGGCGTTCAAAACTCAGAAGGGTAGCAATCCCCCAGCCAGCCCTACTTCAACAAAGTGTCGTTGCTATGGAAGTAAACGTCGTCGACTCTAGAATTAGCCTACCCCATCCTACTTTAATTTGAGAGCGAGATGAAACGGACCTGTTCATAAGTGAGTTAGGACAGGTGTCGAGTCCAAGTACACCGGTCGCATTAGCGAACCCGGCGAAACAAGGGCTCGGCTCGCAAAGTTGCGGCCCGGAAATTTCACTCTCATATCTAATAGGGATTGGAAGAACCCAGAACCAGACCAGATTTTGTTCTCACCTTTTCGTATAGTGTATTTTCAGGATCTGGTCTCGTTTTGGGTTTACAGTTGAGGATTAAACTTGAATTAATAATGTTATTCAACGGTCCATTTCATGGCGCTCGAGTATCAAAGTTCGTTGGAACGGTTTAATAAAGAGCATTTTTCATATTACACTCTCGGGGTCACTCAGGCTCGCGGTCTCTCATACGCAGAAAAAAATAGTTCAATTTTAATGGCCGTCTCCATGAAGCTTCCATAAATATACACACAACAGTAAAAAAATCATTTATTAGTTGAAGTATCAATTTTATTTGTATATAATATATATTTTTGTACCTGACGTTCATGTAAAATATTTGCATATACATATATTTTGTACGTATTTATGCACGTAAATAAAATAATATTTCTTTATGTACGTAAAATTGACATTTAGAAATATATACGTACACACAATATAAAAATGCAAAGTATAAGAGAATATGTTTAGATATATGTATGTATGTATACACACGCACACATGCATTGACGTACACACACATCTGTCTACATACGCACACACGCATCGACAGACAGATATTTGTATACATACGCACTGAAGCACGTACACATAGACACTGACACAATACACATTTATATGTCTATGGTTTCCGGAATAACAGCAATGCGTCCTCTGATGGTCGGCAATGATTTACATATGTAGCAGAAAAAACGGGTATGGTCCTGTTTATTGTCTATAACATTTGAATCACAGATCCACTTATGGCGATTGGAGGTGAATCACCTGTTCAGCTCAGCTCACTTGTAGAACACTACAGAACTCTTCCGAGAGCAAAGCCAGAGCCTGAATGAAGGTACACGTGTATGGAAGAAATATGAGTACGCTTACATATAAGCACACTTGTATGGATAAAATGTTGTACGCTTACATATAGGCGACGCAGAGGATTTCAGATGCATGAACCCTTTCTATTGGTATGACTTCCAATCATCGCTGATGAAGGTACGGTTTGTACTTATTGCTCACTCCGCTGTAGCATAGGCACTGTTCCGGAGTGAAATACAAATTTGCAGGCCTATGTCTCTAGGAGACCCAATTGTCATCACGTTAACGTTTTCTATGTTAATAGCGTTGAGCAAGCAGATACAATTGTCAACACGTTAACATTTTCTAGTCAGAGAGTTGAGCAAGCAGACACCCAGATAACTGTGGGGGACTACGTATAGGTACGCACTCTGTACTTTCACAATGTACACATATAAACATAACACATATAAGCACGGATGAGCACCAAGACACGAATATGCGTTAGTAAGAGGATATACAAACACGACGTACAATCACATTACATCCACTGCAGTATGCAAAAGTAGTAGACGTGCGCCTTGGTGTCAAAAAGAGAGACATTCTCAGAAGTTGGTTGTAATTCTACACTGAAGAATCAGTTTACTTCGTATACCATGCGCTTGCACCTACCAAGACAGCCTCCAGCCCCAAAGTAAAACATTGTCTTATGCGTAGTCATAGGTGTATAGCCACGTGTTCCTATCCTATCCTATCCTATCCTATCTTATATCATATCATATCATTAATTTTAATACTATATAAC